GGAAGGAAGGAAGGAAGGAAGGAAGGAAGGAAGAGGAGGAGGACTCAGGGGTCCTTGGTGCTCTCTGAGCTGGGTGGTTTTCTTGCAGACGATTCATGACCCAACTTGGTAACCTCATCAGTCATAGAGGGGATGAGGAGGAGGAGGAAGAAGAGGAAAAATAGTAATAGGGAGGGAGGGAAGAAGGGAAGGGAAGGGAAGGGAAGGGAAGGAAGGAAGGAAGGAAGGAAGGAAGGAAGGAAGGAAGGAAGGAAGGAAGGAAGAAAGGAAGGAAGGAAGGAAGGAAGGAAGGAAGGAAGGAAGGAAGGAAGAGGAGAAGGACTCAGGGGTCCTTGGTGCTCTCTGACCTGGGTGGTTTTCTTCCAGACATTTCATGACCCAACTTGGTAACCTCATCAGTCATAGAAGGGATGAGGAGGAATAGTAAAAGGAAGGGAGGGAGGGAGGGAGGAAGGAAGGAAGGAAGGAAGGAGACAACGACTCAGGGGTTCTTGGTGCTCTCTGAGCTTGGTGGTTTTCTTGCAGACATTTCATAAACCAACTAGGTAATGACATCAGTGCTAGGATGGAGGAGGAGGAGGAGGACTGTAGGAGCCTTGGGTGTCTCTGAGCTTGGTTGTTTTCTTCCAAACCTTTCATGACCCAACTAGATAACATTATCAGTGCTAAAAGGGTGGTGGAGGAGGACTGTGAGGTCCTTGGTGCTCTCTGAGTTTGGTCATTTCCTTGTAGACATTTCACGGCCCAACTAGGTAACCTCATCAGTGCTAGAAGGCAGTGAGGTTACCTCACATTTTTTTTCCCTGCATGGACAAGGAAAAGCTGAACTCCCAAGGAAGGAGGCGTTGGTTGCACTTGAGAAAAGTGTATTTTGGGGGAGCAGAATGGTATAAAGCCTCTTAGCCAAGAATTGGGGTTCAGTAACATCCCCTTCTCTGTCGTGGCATCGAATTTTGAAATGTTACCCAGAGAAACATTATTATTATCAATTATTATTACACAAATAGTTCTCGCATTACAGTCATAATGGCGTCTCCCCGTCATGCTCATAAGTCATGACACTCGTAAACTGGGTTACTCATGTTTTCGATCCCATTTTACAACCTCTTTTGGAGTAGTCATTAAGTGACTAGATTTCAGGCTCAATTGTGGCCATCAGTTGAGGACCATCTGTATCCCAGCTATGGTTAAAAAAACATGAGGCCTACAAAGGGATATCTGTACTTTCCTGGACAATCTGTATTTATAGAGAATTCACACATACAAATTATTTTTGTCTCCAAACAAACATTTAGATTCAAAGGAGAAGACCTCACTGAGAAACCGACAGGCTCCCATCAAGGTCTGGAAAGCAAAACGAGAACTTGCGTTCCCGGGAAGGGAGAGGAGAACCTGGATGCAGACAGTGACTTGCGAACTGACAGCAGCGACAGTGAGGGAGTCCCGGAGAGAAGTGGCGAGCGGAAGGCTGCCGAGGCAGGCGATGGGTACCTTCGTGGTCGCCATTCGATGCCTCGACAAAGCCAGAGGGATTCGAGGTCACCCAGCGAGGAAAGACGCCCGCACTCCCCTCAGGCAGAGAAGCGAGACCGCAGAAGGGACGAGGCTCGCCAGCATGATGGAAAGAGTCACCCGAGAAGACACGGAAAGGACGAGCGAAGCAGGACCGAGGGCCATCATCGGAGACGAGAGGACCGAGAGGACCGGCACAGGAAGAAGGATCGGGAGGAAGAGGAGGAGGAGGAGGAGGAGAAGCAGGAGCAGAGGCGAGGAAGAGAAAAGAAGGAACGTCGGTCCAGAGAGAAAGACCAAGATGGAGAGAGGGAAAAAGGACGGGGAAGGGATGCAGCCGGCAGGGAAGACAGAGACGAGAAGCCGAAACATGGGTGGAAACGCAGCTCGGGGTCCGTCCCCCAAGAGGAGCCCCAAACTCCAGCGGGAAACCTTCCGAGCCCGGAGAAATCTCCTCAGTTGACGCACGAGGCTTCGGCCGACAGCGGAGAGACCCTGGAGAAGCCGGCCGAGAAAGTCAACAAATTTGCTAAGCGCAGCGACCAGGAGACCGTCTCGTCCGCCCGGGACCGCTACCTCGCTCGGCAAATGGCGCGCCTGGGCAGCAAAACCTACGTGGAAAAAGAGGAAGATTAGGTGCGGCTACACTGGTGGGATCTCAGGAGGAAAATCCGTTGGGAATCTCAGGGGTCTTTGAGCCGAGATAAGACGGGGGCTATTTATTTCAAGGATTCTGGATGCGAGAAGACAAGAGACGGACCTCGGAGGGAGCCGAATCTCGTTTTAGCCTGCCTGTCTTGAGGCCGGGAGTCTGCTGTGGGCCGGAGAGCGTTTTCAGGCTTAGCCTGGGCCGGAAAAAAACAACCCCTTCAGAGACATTTCCTCGAGATTCAAAAATTTGAGGAAGAAAAGCATGCAGGTTTATTATACAAGATCAGGGACAATCCAATGTTTGTTTTTGTTTTGTTTTAAATGCAGATGTAAAGATTAGGAGTTTCTGTTTGGTGTTTTCTTACTTCTGCCTTCCAGAGCCAGCAAAATAAAGTGAAAAGGAGAACTATTTTAGGCTCTGGGTTGTTTTTTTTATACATGCTGAATCTTCTTCGTTCAACTATGTTATTTCTGCCCCTGGTGCGAATTTGAGGAACTCCCGCCTCCCTTTCAACACTGGTGATGCTACTAGTTTGGGAATGAAATACCTGCAAGAGAACAGCCCAGTTCAGAGAGCACCAAAGATGCCTCCTCCTCCTCCTCCTCCTCCTCCTC